TAGTCCGACTTAACATCTAGAAAAGTGAAAACAAGAATACTGACTCATCACATTGTTAACACTGAAGGCGGCAATAGTTGCCCTTCAGACGTTTGGTTACCCGTCCACGCCCTACTGACGCAAAGACAATACTCGTCACAAATCTTGAAACACTTGTGTGATTTTCCCCTTCCCCAATGTTGATTTGGGTATTACAGTCGTCTCAGTGCTCCAAAATACTCGTGGCTCAACATTGGGGAAGGAAAGGAGCACATTTGAGTGAGAACAAAGGCGTAAAGACTGAATGTAAGAAATTTGGAGAAAATTCAAGAAACACGGCTTCAGTTTCAACGATTTGTGACGAGTATTGTAGCATTCTCAAAGTGCAAAGAAAGTCAGGCAGGCTGTAACTGGCATGTACTAGCCCAAAATTCATTTCAACTAGCCTGAAACCAGGATTACAATATTACTCAGATTACTCTTCTGTAATTTGAATTCCCCAAAAAACTTCACTTGTCCATTGGGAAAGCTAAGAACAGAATTCACCAGCGCAATAGCAAACTCCTCAAGCCTCATGTAATCGGAGACTACTTCCTTTTACGCTGCATTTTCTGTCAATCTATACTTTGACAATTTACCTGGTGGAAATGCTAAAATTGGCCTGTGAGTTCTGTTGGCGTGGGTACATTATAAAAACAGTGTAATAAGATAATGATCCTTTCTGTTTTCAGCTTCTATACTGTCCCATCCAGAAAATCCAGCGTGTTACTGCGGGAGTGCTCTGTGAAATAGCCCAGGACAAAGAAGGTGCTGAAGCCACAGAAGCCGAAAACGCAACTGCTTCTCTGACCGATCTGCTCTATTCAAGAAATGAGGTTATTGCAGCTTATGCTGTTGCTGTGCTTTTCCGTATGTAAAAGGAACAAAGCATTTCTCCCTGAATTTGTTTTATTTATGTTTACTTTGCAACACAACAAGGGTTATTTTGATCAAAAGGCATTACTCTGAGACTGTATGGTGAATGAAATAACTGTTCAATAGGAGCCAAGGTTACAGACTTACGAACACTCTGAGTTATTCAGTTCCCAGGCTCCACTCCTCTTTTGAATCCTTGTAAGTTGTTGCCAAAGCCTTTTCACAAAAAAGCATATTGGGGTAGAGGGTGGACGAGGCGAGACTGGGTATTTTGTACAAAACATCAAGTCATCTGTATATTTTGTTTTTCATTCCGAACTTTGCACCAATTTACATTACTATAAGCTGGATAACTATTGTTTCTCTAGTAAAGCTTTTGTATTTTCCTCTTTTTTGGTTTTGAGGAAGCAAAGGCTTTAACTTCTAATCCTCTGGTCTGCACCGGTTTTTGTCATTAAGCAATAATTTGTTTATTGTTCGCTGCTTAGAAATATGAGGAAAACTGGAGCAGAGGTGTTTCCCGCAAGTGTTTGTGGGATCGCTACTGGGGACGCGCCGGTCAGCTATTTGTTAATTTTTTTCTCTGTCCTTTGTAACAGTCCCAGACTTCTTTGCGTAAGTTAACTCGACCCAGACTTTTTCTCGTTTTTCAAGTGGTGAATTTGCGTATGACAAGCCACAGACTAAGAAACTGCATTCTTTTTTTTGACTGTATTATATATCATTACTTTGCCTTCTTCTTTCGCTTGCTAAGAATATGTTTGTATAGATTACCTAGTGGTAGGCTTAAAAATGCTGAAGAGCCAAATATTTTTAGGTATTTTTAGTCAGGCTTGGCTGTGTCGCTTAGTAGTGTATTACAGTGATTGATGTGAGCAGCTATGTGAAATTAAATTTTATAATCAGGTAAAATCGATAGTCTTTTTTATTTCTCGTTGCACTTGTTTAACCTGTTACAGATGTTTACGTGTGATAAATTTTGCCAAGATTCGGAAGCCATATTTCGCGGTCTTGGGACAACAAAGTAACCTAAATGTTTTTAAGTTCACAATCTCCTCTGACTGCTTTGAACTCGTTCAGATAAACAGAATGCAAGAGACCGTCACAGTAAACCAATGTTCACACTCACTCCATTTCTCCTCTCCCTCTTTCTATGTCACGAAACGCTGGGAGAGAGACTCTCTCTGTTTCCCGGCTTTGCGTGACAGAGAGAGGAGTCAGAACTGGACTATGTTGACACTGTATACCGGACAGCTTTTAGTGCCGACACAAAAGCTCTTCGGTATAATTTATAGTGTGACCACTTAACCGATTTGACTCTCCACTTTAGAGATCACCAAGCGCAGCTTCGCTCCGTTACAGATAGCCTGTTCACAGACCCTCTATTTTCTCATCAAAGTCCGTCGAGCGCGCGTGATAAAAAATGAACCGCGGGGTATTTATTGACCGCCAGCGCAAGGGGGTAGGGGTGAGGGAGGATGGAATATTTTTCTTTCTCGCGCACGCCAGTGTTTTCGAAAAGAACGAAAAGAAAAATAAAACAACGTCCGTGTACAGGCTACATTACAGAAATCACACCGAAATCACCGTTCTTTTGTGTTCACAGAAGCCATATCCGGTATGGTTTCCGTACCGGCGCCAAAGATGTCCGGTGTAGTGTAAACACCCATCCGTATCACGCCGAAAATTGTCACCGTTCTTATGTGTGAATACCCTGGGTGCAAGAGGCTTTTCAGGCGCGGTTTCCGGTTTCGGTCAGTCTTTACCCGCGCATGAAAAGCCTCTGGCACCCAGGGCATTCACACATGAGAACGGTGACAATTTTCGGAAATAAGTGACCCGCGCGAAAAGCTTCGCCGCTCGTGTCTTCGGCCTTCGGCCGACAAAACGAAGCTCCCCGTCGCACGCGAGAAACAACCTCTGGTACCCGGGGTAATGTGTGAACGGAAACCCCGTTCAGGCAAATGAAGAGTGAAAAGGAGAAAAATAAAGTGGAAAGTCTAACGAAGACAAAAGAAATAACATTTTCAACTAAATCTCAACCCTCAAAGTCGGCAACTCCCAAAACTTGTTTCGTTTTATGGGGTAACGTATACTTTTTCCGCTTCCTTTTAAGGCACCAACTGGTCGAATCCCCTCATTGTCTCGATCTTGTATCTTTTAGCGTGCCGATCAGAGTGGACTGGGAAAAATCCATCATGAGATTGAGTAATTTTAATTTTCAGTGAGCAAAAACCTTTTTCGCCGGCGTGGAAGTAGTCTGTTACACAGCCGTTTTTAGTGTCGTCACGCAACGCTCCTCGCCCAAAATTCCCCTTTCGCCTTCCTTTTTTAACGCCTGCCACGCAGGCTAAAACCTTTTAAGCCATATCGCACTTTTTTTACACTTTTCAAGTGCTACAAATGTACATTTGTAATGAGTCATACGAGATAACTCCAAATCAGTAAAAGGTTCCTATGGGAGCCCGAGAAAATAAATTTCAAATTTCTCAGGAATTGAGAAAATGATAGGTAAAATCGTTTTAAGTAAGATTTCATTTTGTGACATTTGAAGCTTTTGAATTTTTGTTTTCTCGGGCCCCCATAAGAACCTTTTCTTTGTAGTTATTTCATATAACTTATTACATTTGTAGCCCTAAAAAAGTGCTAAAAAGAATGCAATAGGATTGAAATTATTCTGGTATACGGTCTTTGTCCACTGAAAACTAAAATTACTCTACTTCCAAATGGATTTTTTCTTAAATTTTCGCTTGTCCAGAGGCGTACCCAGAAATTCCAGAGGTTTTCTAAATCAACTCTACCCCCAGTCTCTCTGGTGAGGTAATCATCTCTCGTCGTCTTAGTCTTCATGCAGGAAGCAGTTTATGGTTTTACGTTTGCCAAAATCGGGGAAACCGCATTTTGTTTGAAAAATTGTCCTTAATACGTTAAAGCGACTGCAGTGTTTTTCAGGTGGGCATTCCGTTTCTTGACCGAATTGATTTGATTGGTGTAGTAAATTTGGGAGATTCTTTCACTCTTGAGAATGAGAAAGTTGCCCCTCTTTGGGGTACAACCTATGAGTTGTTATGGTGTGCTCCGCTCGATTGGGGGTGGTTGTGGGAGGGGGGAGGTGGGGTTGGTGGTGTAATAAAAGGTGTATAGAGGGTCCCGATATGTTTGCGAGATGCGGGAATTTTCCTCATTTGAAGGGCGGGATTCGGCATCTAAATGAAAAATGGGGGGCCACTATTCGGGATTGAAAGTACGGTAAAGGCGGGATGCCGAAACAACCTTTCTGGGGTCTGTTTTCGGATAGGTCCGGTAACTTTTCGGGTTTGAAGGCAAATTTTGAAATCAATACTTTTTGAATAGTAGCATAGTTCCTAGCTCCCAAACCGGTCCATTTTGCGTCGTTAACTGATGTTTCAGGTTCATCGTATTATTTTCAAAAACACAAAACCAAAACAACGACTTTGGAGCCAGCTTATAGCTAGGCCATCTTTCAATTAGAACCTGTTAAACTCAATATAAAAAGTGATTGCTAAAGCGAGACATTTCAACTATGTGTTTCCTTTCTCTTAAGTAAGGCTTCTCTCTACTCATGTGTTACTTTCTGTATAACTTGCTCTTAATTTCAACCTTTACAAAACTTCGCACAGAAAATGTGTCAGCTCGAAGTGACATGCAATGTGCGGAATGCATAAATTGACTTTTTTCATTTACTATATGGTAACGCTAATTCTTTCTAGAGGTTAGCCTGTACACAAACGTTGTTCCGCGCTCGACGGACTTCGAAGAGAAAATAGAGGGTCTGTGAACAGGCTATCTATAGGTAACGTGGTCTCCATTCAAGTGACCTCCTGATCCTCGAATTCCAAGTTCATTTCCTTATCACGTGATTTAGATGCTTGGGCCGATGAAATAGCGCTGCGCGCAGTTCTATTTATAGACCCGAAACTCAGACAAACAAACTGAACTTTATAAAACATCAGCGAATTCCTCACTTTTGTTTAAAGATGTCATGTTTGTCGGTCTTTTGTCATTAAAATGAGAAAAATGGCAAAACTCAGACAAAAATTGCAAATTAGTCACTCTGACGTCATTGGCGCGCTACGCTATTGATAAAACGCCCTCTACGCGCAACCATGCGAAGTTGAGTCGTCCTAGCTAGTATGCAGGGCGTTGGTGGATAATACTTTCGAAGTTTGTTCTCTATCATCCATCCCAGCCATAAAATTTTGACTTCTTGTTGTTAGGAACATTCCTGCCAGTATGGGCTGACTTACTTTTGACAGCAAGCGCCCAGCTATGTCAACTTATCAAGCTCGATCGCATCTATGTTCTCTGCAGATTTTCCGCATCGACGCATGCTTATGGTAAGAACTGAAATTAGTATTCAAGTGATCTCTTAGTATACTCTGTCAGTGTCTTCTAATCGAACCTTCAACGAGATTGCATGTAACATATCATGTCAGGTTTTTGAAGTGATCTTTTAAATTATTAGTCGGAGGAGGGAAATCGCGTGAGTCCTGATCATGATAATATAATCAATTTCTTATTGACAACGAAACTCATAAAGCTTACCCTCCTGGAACGAACACATTGAACCTCTGTTAGTCGAATTAGTCATTTACCCGGTCGTTTATAGTTAGTTGGCAGACCATTTAAATTTCGGCAGTATTAATTTGAGAAATGTTTTAGTTTGCACACGGTTTTGCAGAATACCAGTTGTATTAGAAACCCGCAGGTCATCTCAGGGGGGCATCCCCTGCACCCTCCCCCTAGATCCGCCCCTGCTACGGGAATGTATGACATACATGTTGTATTTATCGTTCCAATTCCAAACGATATAAGAAAGACAGAGGAATATGCAAATTCCTAGTTTCTTGCTGTTCCAATCTAAGTAATGATAAAGTAAAGGCCAGGTCTGAAAACGGGCGTGAAAAATGACACTTTTTGGTCTGAAATAGGGTCAGGATTTGAAGAACGGGGCATCACATCCCCACCAAGAATTCCCAGGAGTACCCCCCCGCCTCCTGGCTGGTATTAAAGCTTCCAATACTATTTTTCTATCCTGCATCACAGACATAATTTAACCTCAGTTAGTAATGTCTGTGAAGCTGCACCGACATCCTTGTTCTGCAAGGGCCCCCAACAGACTTGATGAATTACCAGAAGTTAATGTACATTTAAAGTTTCTTTCATGCTATGACAGAGTCAATGAATTACGGGATGAACGTTTCAAGTTTCTTTCATGCTGATTGGCAAATTGACAATAATGACTTTACGAATTAAAAGATTTACCATTCTTCATCACAGAAGCAGCCTCACAGACATGGAATGGTACTTATGCAAGCCATTCGTTAACATCACATGAGGCAAAATTGTTAAAATATTACATTTTGGCAATCCCCACATCGTGCATTTTGTACAAGTAAAACGTGCAAAATATAATGAACGCCAAAGGTTTCAATCGATCTCTAATTAATGTGAAGGAAGAAGCTAAGAAACACTTAACTTACAGGTTAAAAATTCATATAAAATTATTGTCTTAAAGTTTGGAAAATTTGGCAGCACTGTACGTATCAAATGCATGGCAGCTGGCATCTTAATTGTTGTGCTCGCTGTCTTTCTTATTTACATGTAGAATACTGGGAAGACCAACCTTATTCTACTGATATTCTGTAAAATTTCCATACGGGTTCATTGTCATTCCCAGATATTTATAAGATTTAACATTGTTTAGTTTATTTACTCCATACTTAAACGAGTAGTTATTTAAGGACTTGCCATGTGAGCGAGAAGCGATTGTTCCGTCATACAGACTTGACTCTTAATCTCATCCAGTTGTTGTAAGATAAGTTTTATTGACTCCTCTGTCGATGAAGTTTAATCCAGCTGAGTGCCTTAAATTCGGACGATAGTTTTGAATTTAGATTTGCAATTTTGTTTGGCCAATTTTTGTACCTCGTTACCGATTTCTAACTTCACTGCTTGGATGCTTTCTTTGCAAGAGAGTTGGGGGGATCTAGGGGGAGGGTGCAGGGGGTGCACAGCCCCCCCTGAGATGACCTGTGGTTTTCTAATACAACTGGTATTCATCAAAAGAAAAAAAAACTATGTGGTTTATTGGTGTTGAAGTAGAGCAAGAGACGAGTGCACCCCCTCCTAAAAAAAATCCTGGATCCGCCTCTGATCGAGGTGGGCACCTTTTTTGGGGAGGCCACTGAGGTGTTACAAATGAAAATGATTGTTTTTTCTTTTCTTAATCCTGGAGATGGTCACAATATTGTAAAGCCCACCAATCATATGCCCTCGTACAGTACATGTATGTCTCGGCTGGGCATGGGGGATACTTACATTGACTTGTGTATGACTTGCAGTACCATCAGCCAGGTAGCGCAACAGTGCCAGTTCTAAAGCAATAATAATTTATTATATTTATATGTAACTGGAAGAACTGACGTTCTTTGTCTTGATTCATTGCCCTTGATTTCATTAAAGGTTACTGCTACCAGTCAGTTCAAATTTCAAGATGTGTGGGTTTCAGAGGTCAAGGATTCATGTACCAAGCTTTGGTAAGGCTTTTTTATATTATTCATTTGTTGTAATCAGAATTTCAGTACCTCATGTTTATGATAAAATCCCCCCTTGGGTGGGGGAGGAGACACTACAGAGAAGTACCGCCAAGGCCTTAAACCTTTTTCTATTAATTAAAACAAAAACAGTTCATTCCTGTCTGTCCAACCCCGTGGGGATATTTTTTTATTTTATTTTTTTTTTTAGAGATCTTTATTACCACTACATCACTTACAACACTTTCACTACAAAATTTAAGGTTACAAAAAATTACAATTAAGAATTAAGATTCCAACGATAATTTAATACAACATACACTGCAACCAGGCTTGCTTCACGCATACGTAGATTAGATTATAATCATTTACAGTAAGGAGAGGAGAGGCTTCCATTGTGAAAGAAATTTTGCTTTTTGTCCTTTGGAATAAAAAATCGATCTTTGCACAATTAACTTGTCTTTAACGAATTCAAGAAAGTGATCAAAGCTTGGGGGTTTAATTTCGCTCCTTTGCAGGAAGATATGTCTCTTGCCAAGAAGGATATAATAGTTAAGGATTTGCCTTTTAGGATCTTCGGGATTATAGCCACACATTATACTTAAGTCATCAAATAGCAAATATTCACCACTGTGAGTTTTCCACCAGCTAATTACTTCAAACCAAAACTTTTGAATTACTATACAGTTAACTAGCATATGGGAGAGCGTTTCTAGGGAATCACAATGTATGCAGAGAGGAGAGTTCAGGGGCACCCAACGACAATTTTCGGAAAAATATCTGTTCGGGAGACGATTTGAGATCTAGAATTTTCGAAACATTTGTTGTAAAATTTCTTGCTTGCCTGCCTCTCCTAGGATTTTCGAACATCTAAAAAATGGTAAAATTGCCCATTTTCAGCGGATTTTTACCGTATAAAGGTCACCTAAAATTTTCGGGAGCCTTTTTTCTGGCTGAAATTTTCGAACGGGTAAGTATTGATCCCTATAATTTTCGGATCACTAGACTTTCAGCTAGGAAATCCGAACAGATGAAAAATTTATAGGGGATAAAAATATGCCCATATCCACTGTTTAAATACTAAAACACGTTTAACAATGCTATGTTTAAGTGGTTTTGAACTATATTCTCGTTGGGTGCCCCTGAGAGTTTACGATTTTCATTCTGTGTAACAGAACCCCATGTGGAAGAATATTATGAACAATCTTATATTGAAATATGCTTAATTTTGTTTCTTTAGTTATTTTAAATGGAAGCATATAAATGGAACTAAGTTTGGAACTGTCCAATCCTTGCCTGCATAGTCGAAGGCTAGCCAACGGTTCTACAAATTTCCTTTGAATAAGTATATTGCGAACCTTCTTGCTAGTAACCACGTTAATTTCCTTAGTTGTATTTTGTTCCATATCTTTATTGTTCATGATAAATCCCGGTCTCAAAGCGCACTTCCATCTATAAGGTATAGCTGATATTAAACCAAATAACTTAGTAAAAGGCGCCTTGAGGGCAGTTTTTAAAAGAAACTTATTAAGTGTGAGGAATCTGTTTTTTTCATCTAGTAGGTCTTTAATTCTAAGTATACCAGCTTCATGCCATTCTTTCCAATATACTGATTTACCGTCTATTAAAATATGCTTATTATTCCATAAGATTACATTCTCAACACAGATTTCATTGTCCGAAGTTTGCTCTCGGACTTCCATGAGGTGTTAAGAACATCAGCGTAAAATATTGGTAAGTTGTTTAGGCCTAGAAATTTTACATCATAATCACAATCAAAAAATAAATGGCCCTCCAACATTTTTCAAATAAAATAAAGGAATTAACATCCACTGATCCTCTACACCATTCTTCATTCTTTGAACCCAAGCACTTTGTAACGACTTGGATATAGTCTCAAATTCTGGTAAATCCAGCCCTCCTCTTTCTTTTGGACCTATAAGAGTATCCCTTTTTATCTTTGGTTTCTTGTTATTCCAGACAAAATCTGTAATCAATCTATTAGGGATATCTATATAATGAGGCGGTGTATGTATGCACGAACTTACAAAGATAAGTTTCGATAGCCCTAATGTTTTGGCGATTGTTATCTTGCCATAAAGTGAGAGATCTCTTTGAGACCATATATTAAACAGCTTTTGAATTTTACATATCTTTTGTGAAAAATTTTCCTGTTCGCAAAGTTTTAGATTGTAAGAGAATGATATCCCTAAAGCGGAGATAGGCCTTTGTGGCCACTGAACTCCAAATAGTGTATCAGTCCTATTTGCGTTTTGTCCAAGCCACATTGCTTCAGATTTACTTTGGTTAAACTTTAAACCGCTGCAATCTTTAAATAGGTCTAATAACTCTAACAGTTTCCCAAGCGACTCTTTATCTTTGCAAAAGGAGGTGGTGTCATCGGCATTTTGAGATAATTTTATTTCTTTGTTTAAGACTCGAATTCCCTTTATATGTTCATCAGCTCTTATTTAGCAAGACAGTAATTCTGCGGCTGAAATGAACAACAAGCCAGACAAAGGGCAGCCTTGTCTTACTCCTCTCTTTAAAGTAAATGACTCGGAGGCGAAGCCGTTGTTTATTATGCAGCTAGAAATGTTTGTGTACAGAGTTTTCACCCAAGTCTTAAAGTCGGGTCCAAATTGAAAGGTATCTAGAGCTTTAAATAGGTACTCCCATTCTAAACTATCAAATGCTTTTTCAAAATCGATAAATAAAGCAATTCCCTCTATGTCCTGGTCAACGGTGAAATTGAGGATGTCGCTTATAAGTCTGATGTTTTCACCGATAAATCTTCCCTCTACGTAACCAGTTTGTGTGTTATTTATAACTGCCGATAGAACCTTTTTTAGTCTGAGAGCTAAAGCTTTAGAGGCAATCTTATAATCCACATTTAAAAGTGAAATAGGTCTCCAATTTTTAAGATACAATAAATTTTTGTTCTTTTTTGGAATAAGACGTATGATGCTTTGTCTTTGAGAAATTGACAGCTCACCTTTATGGAATCCATAATTAAAACTGTTTACCATTATCTTGCCTAATTGACTCCAGAAGAAGCTGTAAAATTCGGCAGTAAAACCGTCATTGCCAGGGGATTTGTTTTTTTGGAAACATTTTAAAGCATTCCAGCACTCATTCTCCGTCAGCAAGCCTTCGTAGTTCTTTCTTTGTTCATCATTCAGCTTTTCTACCTTGTCATTATCGAAGAACACTTTGAATTTAGGATCGTTTACTTGAGGATTTTGCGAGGAATATAAGGATTGATAAAATCTTTTCTGTTCTTTTAGGATTTCCTTTGGGTCCGTGATATATACTGCTTCCGTTTTCTTGTATAAGGCTGGTAATGCATTTATTTTCATAATTTCGTCTCTCAAGATTAAGAAAATATTTCGAACTTCGTTCGCCGAACTCATGCCAACGGGCCTTGGAGCGCACACATGCTCCTCTTGCCCGGTCGTAGGAAATCTTATCCAATTCATTCTTAACTTTAATGTATCTCTGGACGGCTTCTGCTGATGGGTAGTTTTCACCCGTATTTCCCAGTCTTGAGACTTCCTGTACGAGATCTTTTTCATAATCTTTTTTCATTTTAGCTTTCTGTTTTGAATAACTAATTGTAAACGTCCTTATTTCCATTTTAATCAACTCCCATAAGAGTCCGTGATCTTCAAGATCCTGATACTTGTTTATAAAGTGCGGAATTTTAAACATTAATTTTTCTGCATATTCATCATCTTCTAAGAGGGAGGAATTGAATTTCCAGAATCCAGGTCCTCTTGGGTATTTCTCATTAATTGGCAATTCCAACGTCACTAAAGAGTGATCGCAATGTGCAGCGTGCTTGATTTCACATTTCTGTACGGGGGAATTTTGTAATAGTTGACGGGCTATTAGCCAATAATCTAATCTGCATTTTATTTTCAAGTCAGATGTTCGCCAAGTAAATTGTTTTTCTTCTGGATGTAGCGTTCTCCATACGTCGTCTAAATCTAAAATACACATCAGTTGCTCGATCTCACTGGCGACATTCCTTCTTGACGAAACATCACGTCCTCCTTCTTTATCGGTTTTGGAAAGAGGGCAATTAAAATCGCCACCTACTATAATGTTGTCGTTGGGAAACTGTTCAAGTAAAGATCTGAGTTGTTTAAAAAATATAATTTGCGCGTTATCATTATTGGGTGCGTATAAATATTGGCACAAATAAATTTCTGATCATCTATACAAAACTGCAGGATAAGAATCCTGCCGTTTTCACAACAAATTTCATTTTCTACTAGCACTTTGAGTCGAGGATTAAACAGAATTGCTACTCCTTTGCTGTGTTTACTTCCATGACAGAAGTACACTTTACTACCCCACTCGTTACTCCATAATTTTTCTTGGTCAGTAGAGCTATATGTCTCTTGCAAGAAAATTATTGAGTACTTGTTAACGTGCAGTTGCCGAAAAATAGCTCTTCGTTTTCTTGAACTATTTAAACCCCTAACATTTAACGTAATAAAAGTTAACTTATTCATATTAACGAATAAATATCGATATCTTAATAGTTTCACAATACAGAAGCCTTCTTAAGCTAAAGCCTGGAGAAAACATTGCATCACTTACAACATAAAAACGAAAATTACCTTTCATGAAACAAATTAAAGGCATTGCCTGTGAAGTTCTTTTAACTCCAACAATGGGTAGAATGTGAGATTAAAGTTGTTGTTGGTCAGTATCACTCCGACGGCGTTGCTAGGTTAACTCTTTGCCTCTTCCATTTCATGGCGTAGTTTTGCTAGTTCTTCTGTTCCTACGATTCTGTGACGGCCATTGGCATCGACATATTTGAGTATTGCAGGATATGCGATGTAGACTTTCCGGTTGTCTCCGAGTTTCTTCTTTAGAAACTTTCTGTAGGGCACGAGCTCTTGCCTCCGCCGTTGGGTTTTTTTGGCGAAATCCTCACTTATACCGATGGCATTTCCGTTTAACGGGTTATCCTTTAGACGAGCGGCGGCATTCCTTAGTACCTTCATCTTATCCGTGTATCGAAGAAAAGCGACGTGCATTGGTCTGGGACCCTTTTCACCAGCAGAAGGCGTTTTGCTTGGCGTGCGGTGTGCCCTCTCCAGCTCAACATGGCCACATATCGTTTCAAGGCCCATATGTTCAGTGTTCTCCTTATCAGGCGGTAACCGGTAAAATTTACCGCCTGAAGCAACACTTCTTACCGCCTGCAACTGCTTAAAGGTTTACCAAAATTATGCGAGTTGTGATCCGATTAAATCGTCACAAGAAAATGAATGAATATGTGGAAAAGTATAGCTACCTAAGTACAAAACCTACAGCCCAAAAATAATGCACGTTCAGGAACTTCTTTTTGCGTCTGCAAGCTGGAAACTTCCTGCGGCTTTTTGCAGGGCGCTTGCGCTTGAATCCAGCAAGACGCAAGAACTTCTTTTGCAGTTATAAACTTAACCACAAGAATTTCTTAAAATTATCTTGTGCAAAGGTAACCTTTTAAGCGAGGAAATGTGTACAATTTTGATTTAAAAAAAGCACCTCTTCAAAAAATAAGGAACGATCGTAGTATGTTTCGCAAAAGAGCCGTGTAATTTGAGACCGCACGTGCAACTGTGTCAACTTAAAGCGCTCTCGGAAAAAAAAAACATGCTAAAGTAAAGTAAGGAATATTTTCACTAAAGGCTCTTTCAACTTAGCGCAATAAAGTAATAACAATTCCCATGTTTTCTTGTGGGCAGAAATTCAACGCCTTTGGTTTGTTTGCCGAGACTATGGTATTGTACTATGAAATGATCCAAATAATCGAAATGTTCGAAACTACAGGTCGTTTTGTTAAACAAACGCCTCACACGCTTTATCTAACTTTGGAAAAGCTAAACGATTGAAGTGTTCAATGCGGTAATTTTCTAGCTTCTTGCGGTGAAGATTTTTGATTTCTTTCATTTCAAAGTTCTTGCGGGTAAACCACAAAGGGTCCGCAAAAATACGGCACTTTCACTTCTTGCGGTGGCTTGCATGTTCTTGGGGCGCAGCAACTTCTTACGCCACTTTTTGCGCGTGCATAATTTTGGTTCTGTACTAATACTGTATATGCAGCTTTCCTTTTTAGGGACATGCATTTTGCAGACAGTAAAATTATTGGAATCAAACGTTTTAATTTGTTTTCTAAAGATAACGACAGCAGATTTGCGTAAAATAGGTCTTAAAATATGGGAATTACAAATTTCCCAGTGAAGGCGGGTCCATGTCCCTCACTCCACTGTCCCCCCCCCCCCCCCCCTCTTAGAAAAGTATATATTTTTTGCCTTACCGTCCCTGAATGGTCCCTTACCTGCTGAGCTAAAATTTAGGGAGAACACTGTATGTTGCGTAATAAAATCCTGTACAAAAGAGATGCAATCTCCTTTTTCGGCTTTCTCTGGTATATTGTAGAAGACTAAGTTGTTCCTTCTTGACCTGTTTTGTAATTCTTCGATTTCATCCTTCAGCGCATCGACAGTGGCGTTATCTGCTTTTGAGTCTAAATCCGTTTTTACCTTCTGCAGTTCTGCTGTCATAGAGTTAAGTCCTCTTTCCATGTCACCTACGGTATTTTCAATCTTCAGCAGTCTTCCGTTTATTTGTTCAAGCACGTCTAGCTTCTTTAGCTTTTCATGTATGCTTTCCAAGATGGCGGCGCCGGCCTCATGTTTATGTGGTGGCGTTCTTTCATCTTCACTGCTTAAGCATGCCTCTTGTCTCGCTCGCTTTTCGTTGGGCATAACGGAAAGGAAAAGCAAAGATTCTCCAAATAGTTTGAGGCTGATTTGGCTAATTTCCTGAAACTGATATAGTGAAACGGCAAGGTAGCGTCGGAGCGACAAAAAAACACGACTACTCCATTTGGCGCCCAGTCCCAACCCACCCCGTGGGGATATACCTGTACATGTACACCTAAGTATCATCTAGACAGTTGAGCTCCTTCTGCCATTATATTCCACGGATAATACTATATTTATCCCAGGTGTACTGACTGAAGGAATACTCATGATAAATAGCATTAATGCAAAAGATGTTAGCAAAGTGTGAGTCTAGGGGCACCTTCTTATTCAACCCCAAATTCTGGAAATTTTGGTTAGAAAGCAAATGGAACAGACCATCTTGGTTCAGTTTGGCCAGAATATTTGACAACACCTTTGAAGGTAGTCCACTGGTGCAGGGTTCTCAATAGATTTTTAAGTAGGAGGTGATCACTGATAAAGTAGGAGGCTCTTCAGCAAAGCCAGAGGTGTCAAAACAAAGCAAAGAAAAGCGACTTAAACACAAAGTAAGCGGCTATAAATCCCAAAGTAAGCGGCGATCAATCGCCGGGTGCCCCCTTCTATTGAGAACCCCGCTGGTGTGACTGAAATGACCCTTTTAATTTGACGTAATTGTTGTCCCTGCTCCTACTCATCTGTATCCTGCTTACAAGTACCTACCCAAACACACAGTGGCTTGGGTTTGAGGTCTGTACAACTGGAATGTACTGTTCCATTAGGTGTGTGGAATTTCCAAAATTTCAAACAAGAATTTTTGTTGAATGGAATGCACCATAAAGCTAGATGTGGTTGGCGTTCATCTGTTGTGTCTTGGGTTGACAAGAAGTTTTAAAAATAATTTGAAAAATATACCATAGCATTATAATTTGGTTAAATGTAATTTAACTAAGTTAACCACCACGAGCTTAGCGGTGAAGCGGTTCATAAGCTTAGCGGTCAAGCGGTTCACAAGCATAGCGGTTAAGCGGTTCACAAATATAGCGGTCAAGCAGTTCACAAGCTTAGCAATTAAGCGGTTCCCAAGTTTAGCGGTCCACAAGTTAAGCGGTCTAGCGGTCCACAAGCTTAGCGGTCAAGCGGTCTACAAGCTTAGCGTTCAAGCGGCCCACGAGCGTAGCGGGCATCCAGCGGTCAATCCCATAAGTGCAGGCTCACATGGTTTGTGGTAGCTTTGTACACAGCTAAGATCTGCGAGTTCTTCATCGAGCGTTTGTGCAGTGGTGACGGGTGCCTGGAATGGGGGCTCATGGCTGGGTTGCGGGGATTTGCCAGCCATGGGGGCAGTTTTCTATCTAGGGGCTGGCTGGCTACAGTGGAAGCCCCTGGGTATCCCAGGCACCCACCTTTCACTTAAACGAGGCAGTTGGTTAACTGTGTCTTGGTAGCACATAAGGTTGTACCCAAAGTACAACGTATCCAGGGCTGTCATTAAGAGGCGTGGGCTGGGGATTTCCCCTGGCTACCCTAAACATTACTTCCAGTTATTTTCATAGGAAAAATAGAACCAAAAGTAATCTCTAGCTGTTTGTTTCCCTGCCTACTTGTTGTTCGTATCCAGCAACTTGAAATCGTGGTGACAGCCCTGCTTATCACTACATTTTTTATCTTTATTATGTAAACAACAATGAAATACCAGGTGAGCTTTTCATGACTAACTTGTTATTTTCACATACACATGAAAAGATTTGCATTGTTATCATTACATAAGAAATCGCACCTTGTGGCACTGGTGCCTCTGACAGCAGTGCCTTTGTCAAAGTAATTTTGATGTAACTTCAAAATTGCCGACAATTTACCTAACTTGAATCTAAATATTATTGAATGTTGACATGCTCACTACTCAACCAGAAAACAAAAATACAAAGAAAAAGATGATGTATGAACAGAACATTGTTTTAAAATTTCTTCGTGAGGTTCGGAAATATTTAAAGAAGGGAAAAAAGGTAGACAATATTCCACCAGAGGAGATGAACCTTAGTGAATTCATTATTGCTGCTAGGACGAAGAAAGGGGAACAATATGAGCCATCTTTTCTCAGAGGAATCTTATCAAGCGTTTACTGTTACATGTATCTTGCAAGGCGTGAATATGGGAAAAGGCTATTCATTGATCCTGAATTTATGAGATTGAGAGACACATTGAAAACAAAGCAAAAAGAACTAAAAAAAAAGGCGCTCACTTGTGAAATATTTTTTTAGCACTCAAAAAGAAATTTTGTATACATAATATACTCTATATACATGTATCTTATACCTCGATCATGGCCTGTATTTTTTGGGGGGTTTTAATTTTTGTAATTTCTTTCCACTGTACATAAACAGTTGCAACCTTAGAGCACGTCCTGCAAAATGACTTCCACAACTTAGAAAGACAACTTACATGGAAATTTAATTTTGTAGTAGATAAAAATTCAGGTTAATCCTGTATTCAACCTTCTTTGATATTGGATATTATCACGATAATATCACGTTAGAATCTACTAGAGTCTATTTAGATCATCCTTTCCTCTTTCCTGAATGCAATGATTTTGGATTATCGTGATAAAACCTTCCAAATTGCATATTGACAAATCACCAACATTGATCAACATTAGCTGAACATTTAACAAGGCACATCTTTTCTACATATATCACAGGTAGCCCAAGCTCACTATGAGAGCCGTGAACAACATTATCCTACTTAGCTAATTAATTATTCATACAGCAAGAAAATTATAAGACGTTGTATGGAGAAATATTCTTTGCTCACTAAATTAGCAAAATGTACATTGAATATCGCTTTGAAGCTTACCTTTAGCGTCTTCTTGTTTTTCTTTGTATTCTGACTGCATTTCAGACCTCCTAGGCACTGTTTAAGGCCTTTTTTGGAGCGGTAGAGAGAAGAGAAGAGAAGGTTGGCAAACCTCTCTTGACCGGCTCCGCTCTCGGCGGCGATAAATTCCGTGACATTTGCGACATGGAGACAATACCGCCAGAAACAGATGTCCTGATAAATAACGCACATTTTGCATCATTCACATTGCCAAAATTCCCCTTTCGAAGGTCCTAAATCGCCAACGAAGTGGGCAATACACGGCTGAGGTGAGACGAGTCGAGAGCAGACCCGCAACGGACTCCAACCGTCACGTCGACAATTCAAACCGTCGCGGGCTGGCAGGGTCAAATTGTTCAACCGTCAAAGGACAATTGGAGCATTTAGCCTACTGGGCACAGTAACTGATTTTTCACTTCTCACATTGCACTCCGGGGTCGCGGAAGTCAAGCATCGCGTGTGATAGTGACATGTAATATCAAAACATGTCGCGTTGTTAATGTTTTGATCTCTACTCTTCTTTTTAAAAAGCGTTTGACAATGGTTTTTTATGTATGATTTAGAAAAAAATTTTGCAATAAGAATTACTACGGCTGTAAACAGTTGTTAGCTATTTTTTCTCCCTTTTTCAACAAGTGGCAGTAAGTAGCAAGTTTGGGGACAGGATCTTCCGGCAGGTGCTCTTATCTATTGTGAGTGGAAAGGAAATATGTAAATAAATATTTCTTTGAATTTTCTCTTGGTAATTCTGCCACATTAGCTACACCAATTTCAAGATCAAATTATACATCAGCTGCTTACAGCCCAAGCAAACTATTTCTGAAATATGAATTCCAAATGTAGTAGCTATTTTTGCATTGATTGGATTTCTTGACGTACTGTTAATCATGGCAGAAAGGTAGGATGAAGTTTTGTAATCAAAAGATTGCATTGTTTCTCGTTGAACATGCACTTACAAAGTATTTCATTTTGCAAAACAACCTTCATTTCAGTCTAACAAATGAACAAAGGGCTGTGTTGAACTGTGCCTCATTGGGTCATAATCTATTAGTTAGTGGACAAGCCGGAACAGGAATAGAAGTGAAGTGAAGCTGAAGTGTAGAAGTGAAGCTGCCCTCGTAAATTTCAAAATTACGACAGACCCTAACAAGAAAAATATTATGCAGTCAACTTTAAGAATTGAAGATAAATCAAGGCGAATCCAGGGTATTATTTTTTTTCTAAATCATACATAAAAAACCATTGTCAAACGCTTTTTAAAAAGAAGAGTAGAGATCAAAACATTAACAACGCGACATGTTTTGATATTACATGTCACTATCACACGCGATGCTTGACTTCCGCGACCCCGGAGTGCAATGTGAGAAGTGAAAAATCAGTTACCGTGCCCAGTAGGCTAAATGCTCCAATTGTCCTTTGACGGTTGAACAATTTGACCCTGCCAGCCCGCGTCGGTTTGAATTGTCGACGTGACGGTTGGAGTCCGTTGCGGGTCTGCTCTCGACTCGCCTCACCTCAGCCGTGTATTGCCCACTTCGTTGGCGATTTAGGACCTTCGAAAGGGGAATTTTGGCGATGTGAATGATGCAAAATGTGCGTTATTTATCAGGACATCTGTTTCTGGCGGTATTGTCTCCATGTCGCAAATGTCACGGAATTTATCGCCGCCGAGAGCGGAGCCGGTCAAGAGAGGTTTGCCAACCTTCTCTTCTCTTCTCTCTACCGCTCCAAAAAAGGCCTTAAACAGTGCCTAGGAGGTCTGAAATGCAGTCAGAATACAAAGAAAAACAAGAAGACGCTAAAGGTAAGCTTCAAAGCGATATTCAATGTACATTTTGCTAATTTAGTGAGCAAAGAATATTTCTCCATACAACGTCTTATAATTTTCTTGCTGTATGAATAATTAATTAGCTAAGTAGGATAATGTTGTTCACGGCTCTCATAGTGAGCTTGGGCTACCTGTGGTTTGATAAAAAGTTTGATAATGTTCGATGTTAGACCTGTTCTAGATCGATTATTAAAATCTGATAACTATCCGATAAAATAATGATATCTTTTTATTATCGCAGCTTTATGGAATTTCCCTTGTTTTTTCACCCTCATTTTTCGTAGGAGACAAAAAAGAAATTTCGGTTTAACCTGAGAACAGATTTTACCTACAATGCTTTCACATGTTGATTTGCCTATATTTGTGACTCAAGTTATAAAGGAATGGTTGAATGCAGTTGTTAATAAATAAATTCCCACTTGGAGAACCAGTTTGACCAATCCCAAAAAATAATTTGTGCCTGCAAAATACAAAAAATCACCTATCTGTAAAATTAAACTCTCACAAAAATAAAATGTGAAATGGTACTGTTGCACCATTATTAAGTATACTTTCTTTCTTTGTTCCTATTGTAGTGTTCATGTCTGCAGTGTTAAAGGATTTTTAGGATTCCTGTGATGTCCAGGCTGATGGAGGTAAGAAAAATTGATCATCTGTTAGTTATAGTGTTGGTCTAGTGAAGGTTGATTGTAAATTCTCGGTATTTACATCTTCATTCTCTAGTTGTAAGGGTTTGAGGTTTGAGAAGTTTGAGCTGTGGCTCTAAATTTTGGTGGAGGGATGTTAGTTATGTCAGACCCGAATGAGGGCCCTTTGTGTTGTCAATTGATGGATTTCCTTACACAGTAAACTATTTCTTATTTTTCCTCTCCCCTCTCCCTGTTTAATTTTATATTTAAAGGGAGCATACTGATGGGAGCAATAATTATTTGGTGGCCAAGCATTTCATTGAGTAGGGGACCCGGTGGAGGCATGTTGGGGTAGTAATAGTTCTTGATGATGCTTTTTGCTGCTCAAACCAAGATACAGTTTAACTAAGCTTTTGTTATGTGGGCCTCATTGGCTTGTTTTGACCCTTCAAGCCCCAAGAGTGAACAACGTCAATTTTCTCCTAACTACATCTGTTCAATACATCAACAAGAGAGAAGGTTATGAGAATTAACAAAATGATCACTCAAAGGAAAAATGCTTAATTATACCTTTTGTAATCAAATTCTCTCTACTACTTCTTTAAGGAGGCGTGTGGAGGTCGGTCTGGATTTGCATTTTGTTGTTTAAGGGTTATTAAAATTATCTGCAATATTGAGTTGGTGCATTAAGCTTTGTGATCCCTCCCAATCTCAAACAAAAGAGAGTTTTAGCAACAATGGCAGCAAAAAATGTCACTACTAAAATAAATTTACCTTTTTAAACTTTGTTGAAAGTTTTCCAAGGCACTTACAATGTTAGAGGTGTATTAACTTCCTTGGAGTGAAATTCTTCTTCAACTAAACTTGGCATTAGGAATTTTTCACGTCAAAGTTGTGCAGTAATAGTAAAGAATGTACCATAAAGTGTGCTGCATGTGCAGAGTTTGTTTTTTTATGGTCATTAAATCTATTACTTTGCGACAATCCTGTGGCTGTTGCTGTCATCGTTGCCAAAGGTAGTTACAGTGTGTCCGGAAGTATAAAGCCAATCAGGCATGAGAAAACTTAACCACAAGCAAGATCGTAAATTAGTTTGTGGTTTTGTGGCCAGTTCACGTGTCTTTAGTCTACTTGATGTTTGCTGTGATTGGTCATAACACAATAATCATTCCTGAGATATTTCAAGTGTTCACGGTTTTCACGGTCGCATTGTAACATTGTCCTCACCTCTTAGTGTGGTACAGGTGTACTGTGTTGTTGAGACAGTCTTAGTAACGTGCATCATCTTTAACGTTTTACCCTGCAAGTTACCTCTGTCACCCCTCCCTCCAAGTCATAGTGATATTCCCATAGATTTTAAACATATTGTCCTCAAGTTTAAGTAGAAAGTAAAGTTGATTTGTAACAGTTTTGAACTGTTTACGTTTTCAATAAGATGTTACTCTACATGCATAATTTTATGTAAACTGCTAATTTTTGTTAGAGTGTGGCAACCACAGATACATCTTAAGTCATTTGGCCCTTGGGATGATTCCTGGCCTAAGTAATTAAGTATATAGTATGTACCCGAAGTTCAAACATGATATGTCTTGAGCCATTGTTACACAATGTGTTGGTTGTGCAGCAGTCAGAATGTAATGATTTCTATTGCAAAAGCGCTTTACTTGTTAGTATAAATAATCTATAGTTTTCTTGTCAACCTTTTCAAATGGTATGGACTCTGAAGAGCAATGCAAGACATTGCTTGAGTTTAAGTTATTGTAAGTCAATTTAGGTTCGTATGAATTTACATTACATTCAAAAGGCTTTTTATCAAATCCTTTGGATAATTTATGCTACTCTTCTTTTAGGATTTGTCATCCTTTCCCAGCACAGCCTCTACATCACAGGAAGACCACGAAAGCAATTCAGGATCCACTTCCTCCAGGAAATTAAGAGTTACTCTGTTAAGCAGTGAATGGAGATCAACAAAAGGAGGCTTGTCAACCATCAACCGAGAGCTGGCCATTCAGTTGGCAAAACATCCCAGCGTGGAGGTCAGCGTTTATCTCCTTCAGTGTAGTGAAGAGGATAAAAGAGTCGCTGCAAGTCACAATGTCCGTCTCGTTGAAGCAGAAAAAATGTTAGGTTATGACCCAGTTGACTTGTTGTCCTTTCTACCAAAAGACCATGCTGTGGATTATGTGATAGGACATGGGGCCGTTCTTGGTCGGCAAGTGCAGGGTATAAAACGACATCATCATTGTAAGTGGATTCAGGTTGTTCATACCTCTCCAGAAGAACTTGGAATGTACAAAGGATATGAAGAGCACATTTCCAGAGGCGAGGACAAACACCAGGTTGAGGTTGAACTCTGTAAATTGGCTGATCAAGTTGTAGCTGTTGGACCCAAGCTGGCTGATGCTTATTCCGGTTATCTCCGTCCTTGTGGAAAAGATCAGGATGTTCTCAATCTAACCCCAGGCATTTTCTCTGAGTTTGCTGATGTTAGTCAAGCTACTGAAGAAAGAAACTCATTCAATGTTTTGGTCTTTGGACGTGGTGACAATGAAGATTTTCAGCTGAAGGGATATGACATTGCTGCCCAAGCCATTGCTGAGTTGAAAGACACGACCTACAAACTTGTGTTTGTTGGAGCAACACAGGGAGAAGAAGGGAAAGTAGCAAAAAAGTTAGTGGAGCAAGGCATTGATCCTAGTCAACTTAAAGTGCGTCGCTTTAATGAAAGTAGAGAGAAACTAGCTGATTTATTTTGCGAAGTAGATCTTGCTGTAATGCCATCACGAACTGAGGGCTTTGGTCTAGCTGCCCTTGAGGCTTTATCTGCTGGTCTGCCTGTGCTGGTTAGTGGGAACTCTGGTTTTGCGGAAGCTTTAAAGAAAGTTCCTCATGGTTTAAGCTGTGTAGTAACGTCGGACGATCGAAGAGACTGGGCCAGTGCAATAAGAGCCATCCGTCACAAGGACAGGGAGATGAGACTTGGAGAGTTTAATGTTGTGCGTGGGGCATATGCAAAAAAGTACAGCTGGAAGGAACAGTGTGATAAACTTGTTGAAAGGATGAAAGTGATCTCTTCAGAAGGTCAGTTAAAATAAGTGCTGTTGTATTGCGTCCTCTGTTGCATATATATTAAACTTAAAATGAAATGTATGCTAGCCCGCAAAGAAAGCCAGCTCTCCCATCGCTCCCCGCTACTGGCGATGTTCGCAGAAGAGAATGATTAATAATGATAATAAGACGCTGTGGGAGCGTATATTTGGGCGTCGATGTACTAGGCGTGTGTGAAGTCTGAAGTTTTGTATGTGTATTAGGGATGTGTGATTGGTGCAGTAGCGCTGTATAATTTAGGGTTTGGTTGAGATGCGTGAAGTGGAAAGCGTGGAGTTATATTGGACGTGAATTGGTAAGATAATGGATGTAGTTTGTTAATCAGTGAAACTTGTTTCTCGTAGAATTTAATATGAAGTAACATAAAATAATTATTTTGCGAGGTAAGCTCTAGTGATTTTAGGTGTTGCAGTGAGGTAGTTTTGCTGGAAGTGCTAATCTGGTTATGAAGGGATAGTGTCGTTACAGTGTGTTGAAATAAAGTGGTGGTTGTGAGAAGTCTTATCAATAGTCTTATCAAAAGTCTTATCAATGGTGGAAAACATCAAGTACTTATACGTTTTTTAAAACCTTTTTAGGGTGTCTGTTTAAGATTGGTTTTCGCTTATTTTTTATTATATTTGTATGGAGAGAACAAGGATAAGGCCAAAAGTTCATTGAATATAGAGAGGGGAGTATGAAGATGTTGAGGGGGAGGGGGGATGAAATTTTGCGTGTGTGCTCGGGGGCTTTGAAAAATCGGTGAGGTCAAGGGGAAAGGCGTAAAATCTGGCTATAAAACTAAGAGCCTGATTACTAGAGCCGGGCTGGCTCACTTTGCAGAGATAATAATAATAAGAGGGATAATAGATAACAATAATAAAAATAATAGTTTAGAATTTCTATTGCGCAGATTCCTTGACGAGATGATCAACTGCGCATTACAACAATACGTAGAATAAAAATAACTAAATGATAAATAAGAATTACATCATGTGTTGTGTATAATATTAAAAAACCTAACTAAGAATAAAAAGCCTTACTAAAAGGTAGGTCTTTAAAAGTTTTGCTAAAAAATAAATAAAAATTACATAGTTGTGTTAGGTATTAAGTAAACCTAACGAAGAATGAAAAACCTTACTAAAAAGATGCGTCTTTACAATTTTTTTAAATGAATGATGTCTCAGAGGCGGCTTTATTCGCTGGCTAAATGTACATGTATACTTAATAGTTATGATTTATTGCATTTACAAAGTAAAAAGGTGCTGTGCACTCATTAAACTTGAAAGCATTCAAATACATGCTCATTTAGAAGCAGAACTTATCACAAATAACTGCACCTACGTCTTGGCAGAAATAGCTGTATTATTTAGAACGATAACTAAACAAGAATTAACTCAGTCGGTAGAGCACTTGACTGTAGAGCGGGAGGTCGTGGCTATCACGGGGCCAGACCAATACTCAGGGTCTTAAAATAACTGAGAAATGAAGGTACTCCTTTTGCGCTGCAAGCGGCTGGACCTTCGCGTGGCTCGAATGATCACGTAAAATAGCGTCCCGTGTCAATTAGGAGACGTAAAAATAGTGTCCCAATTAGTACTTTCGTGATAAATACATTCACACTCAAATAAAGTGCTTTTTTTTGTTCAAGGTGGAGTTGTCTGAATCATGTTCAACGGTAATCTTGGGTTAACTATAAACAGAACATATAACTAACTCTGGTTTGGACTAATGGTTCCACATGTATCATTCTTTAACATTGTTTATACATGTAGTTAACTATATTTAGGTAGTGGGTTGGCCTAATTGAAAATGGCTGAGAACTCGGTTTTGTTAAACACTGGCAAATCTCCATTCAAATAAACGGGTGAAGAGTTGTTTCTATTTTGTTGTAGGTCCTCATGCAGATGAGCAGAATTTATCTAGGGAAGTCCCAGTGATCTGTCAAGGTGAAAAACCCTCTCCTGCTGCACAGCGCCATCATAAAGGTACACTTTAATTTAGTTGAGCCGTAGAATAATGAACAGCTGTGTATATAGTTACTTTTACAAAAACTTTATGTTGGGGATTGGTTTAATTGCAGGTGCAGCGAAGAGACCCAGGTCTTCAAAAAAGGGAAAAGGGCCGCTATCTTTAAGTGTTGTCACAGCTCCAAAACAACCGAGACTGTTGAGATACGAAGGTAAAGTTTCTTTCTGGTTTATTTATGGTATTGCACCACATAAGCTGCATAGATGACTAAATAAGATTGTGGTGGTGCTTTTTGTTGGAGGAACCTCTTTCGCGCTTAATCCCTCTGGCTACGTAGCACCTTAACTAAACTCATTCCCATTCTTCTCGCAGCTTTATTGCCTGAACAAAGGCGCTTCTAAACTAAAGCGCTTGTGTGCTCTTATTGGGCCTGCTGTGCAGCACGGCAGTGTCTTCATTGTCCCGCTTTTCAAGTCGGTTGGACTCTCAAGAAGCTAGAGTTGCTCTCGGCTGCGATTACTAGAGCAAATCTTGCGATTCTCTGTGATACGATATGCTTAAGCTGAAGGTACAACTAGAACGAGGCCACATTTTGTTAGTGGAGTAGTAAAGCAGATAGTATTTTCTTGTCGTCATTCATGATCAAAAAGATCCTTTGGAAAATAACTTTTTGAGCGCTAGCCTGTTGCCAGTCAGAGTTCGTCACAATGAATTTATACCAGTTTTAGTGTCTGTCTGTCTGTCTGTTTGTTTGTTTGTTTTTTTTTTTTTTTTTTTCACATACATTACACATTCGGTTACACTTCAAAACACCACTTGATTGACACTTTAATTTTATGCTTGTGACTAAATGTCTACATTGCGAGAACAACAGTACAGCGAAATTCTAACAAACGGACATTTTTTTTACATTCTCGATGTTCATTTGTATCAGGGCAAGCTCCCGTAGGCCGCCATTTAACCCTTTACTCCTGTAGTGGTCGCTTATGTGAACCATTCTCGTAAGCGCCCCGAGGCTGTCCGCTTACGATAGCTTCCACCGTGATCTTTTAAAACATTTGTTCGTTTCCGATTGGCTCAAATCTCCTGGCTGATTCTTCATAAGCAGTTAGTGCTGTTGAAATTAAAGCTGCAAGACGTTTGCGATGTCCGATAAAATGACTCTCAAAAGGCTCGGCAAAGAGACATCAGTGTTCAAGAAAAGGAAAAACTTTGTTACCTGCTAGTGATATTTCGGCTGAAAAACAACCGAGACTGTTGAGAGATGCAGTCTTGTTTGCTGTCCTTTATTGGTAGAGTTACTGTATCAAATTGATGACTTCATTTGAAAATTCAAGCATTAAGAGAGTGTGCACTGCAGGCATCTCTAGATGGTACCACAGTTATGTATTTTATTGTTTAATATGTGTGTAAGATTCTGCACTTGACCTTAGCTTGGCAACTTGTCCCTATGACAAGTGTTTTCCTTGTGACAGGTGTTCTCATAGCAACGAGTGTTGTCCTTGTCGTTTTGAAACTGCATAGCTGTAACATTTTGTAGTGAAGGTTTCGCCCTGACCGTTTTAGAATTAAGCTACAATCCCGGACAAAACTACTTGAGAAAGTTTTCCCCATCATGTCCACTTTGCTACGCAACAAAACTATTTCCAAAACGACGCCTTTGCGGAAAGAAAACCCCTTCCCCCAATTCAATGTTGCTTCCCACAAACGCCCAAGGATCAGGCTTTCTTTTGAATACACAACAACATTGCTTTCAGGGGAAGGGGGAGAGGGAAGAACCGGTACAGCTACGATGTTTAGAAAAATGCTGTCCAAGTATACAATTTTCTCAACAGTTTTGTCCAAGATTGTGTACAAGGTGATTCGCGTTTTGTCGCAAGAATATTTGCAAGGACAAAACAAAAACATGCTAATAAAAAGCACTTTACAGAAGCTGTTTTGAGCACAAAGTTTCACGCCACCCCATCTTCTCATAGAAAAGCAAGACCTCATATACGTTTTTTGCAGCACCCTCTTTAAAACAGTCAGATTTCGCAATAGCCGTACAACGCGTGCTAATTGTTACATATTTTCCTGTAGTTCCGGAATGGAAGGCTCGGAAAATGTGAAAAGTAATTTATCTTTTTCAGAAGAGTCTGAACAAGACTTGTATGACGGTTCTCTTCGAAGAAAAGGAGTTCGTAGTGTTTATTTAGGGACATAATAGTCAATCCGGTATGGAACCGTTTCCCGTCACGTGGAAATTGCTTCTCAGAGCTTATAATTGGTTAAACTATGGGTGTTACAGAAACTTTGTTTGTTAAAAGTCGGTTAACTTTTTACGATAATTCCATGGATAGAATAATATTACGATTAACAAAGCATCGAAACGGTTAACACCATTTCGTTTTCAATAGAGAATGACCTTCTGATTCTTATTAAACTTCCCTGTTAATCGTTGTTAACCGTTGCTAATCTTCGCAGCCGCTCAAAAATGTCCTGTTAATCGTTCCGACTTGCAGATATTGTGGAGAGAAAAAGATTAGAAGTCAACTATGGCAACTTTTATCATGCCTTGGTTTACAAATTATTAATTTAAGTCACCATTTTTTCCAGTCACATGTAACCCGAAGACAAAACGTGCACTTTTACAGGTCACGCGATAGTACATCTTGTCACGTTATCGCGTGTGACATTTCTAGCTTTCATAGTGTGTTTCTTTGGACAGGATATCGCCACAGTTTCAAAAGTAAGCCTTCAAATGTGAAAAGTAAAAATGCAGCTTTTGTAAATATTTCATCCTCTCTCCATTTGATGCTTTTATTCATTGCAAGTGCTTGCCCATTGACTATTTCGGCGATGGGAAAATTGTTCAAAGTTGTCGGGTCACGCGCTCTGAAAATTCAGCCAAAGTTTCATGTGTTATATGTTGATCGAATCGTAGTGGGTGAAATTCCCGTTTTCTGGCTAAACTGCTTGACGGAAACGTCCTTTTCGTCCTCGAAAAGCGCAATGTATGTCCGCTACTCTTCACTCAAAGCGCGCGTAAAAACCATGCATGGAAAATGAATTTCGCAAACGTTCTTGACTGACCACTCCAATCAAGTAAGACAATACAATTGGTTTTCTTGTCATAAACGCCTCTGTTTTCACTCATTTTGCATTAATTATCTACTTTTCTTTGAAATGTACTACATTTATAAAGAACAGGCTTATTTGGCTGCGTTAAAGGTTGCAAATCGCCTTTTCCAGTCAAATACAATCCCGGACAAAACTACTTGAGAAAGTTTTCCCCATCATGTCCACTTTGCTACGCAACAAAACTATTTCCAAAACGAAGCCTTTGCGGAAAGAAAACCCCTTCCCCCAATTCAATGTTGCTTCCCACAAACGCCCAAGGATCAGGCTTTCTTTTGAATACACAACAACATTGCTTTCAGGGGAAGGGGGAGAGGGAAGAACCGGTACAGCTACGATGTTTAGAAAAATGCTGTCCAAGTATACAATTTTCTCAACAGTTTTGTCCAAGATTGTAGGACCTTCCTTCATCCAGTTTCAGCAGGTGCACAGTCCATACTGTTGAATCTCATTATTCACTTTTATGTAGGGAGCAACATCACTTTTAACTTTGTTTTACATTTTGTGGCGAAAGCTAAACCGTTCTGACTGGCTTGATGATGAGCTTGCGCATTTATGAGGCCGTGTCCTTTATCACTGCCATTTTCCAATTGGATGTTAAACAGCCAATTAAAAAGAGTGGATCTCAGTTTCACTTGTGCTTGAAGGAGATGAAGGCCTAAATTGTTCCATTTTTGTGTAGCCCTTTGTCTTTGGGAATAGTTTAGAATATCTGCTGTTTCCCGTGGCCAAAAGGTAATATTTGCGGTACAAGGGAGGCCCTCTTCCCTTGTTTTTATCCACATCTATTATCTAATCAGACAATGTTTAGAAAGAAGTCGCTGGTGTGTTTGCTAATAAGCACCAAAGGAGGTTTGAGTTTGGCATACTACTGAAATATTAGTGATTAGCAGCAAAACTAACGAATAATACGAATTTCCAACTTTCTTTGTTTTTTTTTTCTTTTTAAATAGTGACATTGACATCTGCCATTCTCAAAAATTGCAAAAGAAAGTAGTCTCTTTGCCAAAAAACGCTAAAGAAATCAATTTGAAGTTTAAAAAGAGAAATATCCATGTTCGTAGTGCATGCAGTCTCTGACTACCCAATTTCCCCCCTAGAGACTTGCCCCTCCGGCCTCGCTTGGTCCGTCTCCTCGTTAAATCGCACCCACCCGTAAAAATCCTGGCTACGGGCCTGCGTGTTATAATGTAATACAAAAATCTGGCTTTATCAACTAAGTACATAAGGTTAATAGTCAACCGTAAAGAGATTGGAAAGCTGACCGTCAAGCGAAAACAAGCCCCTTCAGTAAACCAGTGAATGATTAATGAGTGGTTAATTGACCATTCACTTATGATAGCAACAGTAGTGCATAATCTTACGAATGAACGAGTTAATACGAAGTTGTCAGAGGCATCTTCCCCTCCTCGCCCTCAGCGAGCAATTCGTGTCTCACCAGTGAAGCGAAATCAAAGTAAAAACTGTCGAGAACTCGTAAATGAATTTTAAAAAAATATTTATGCGATAAAATTAAGTATATATTTTAAGTTGAAAAGATCACGTACCTGTCCAAGTGAAAACACCCTTCGCATATTCACGAGTTCATGTTCTAAAAATAGCCACTCCAGGGGTTCAGCTTTTGTAATGTAGCTACGTTATTTTTCGTTACTCGTTTTTCGTACTACACTGAAAATGCAGACTGTTTTTTGACCTGTTTCTCGTTTGTAGTTCGTATGGTAAGATATATAGGCGCGCGAAACCGAGGTTTTCTACCTTCTTCCTCTCGCCTCTCCCTTGATTCAGCTTTCGCGTAACCTGAGATCAGCTATTTTCACCGCCCTACTTCTCCCCAGTTTCCTCCCGTTTTATTTGCGTAATCGCGCTTTCTCAATTTCGCGGACCCGTCTATTTCGCGACACTAGGCAATGTAGGGTTATCATCATCATCAACAACATTGGGAGGACGAGTAGACGGGCAAGAACTAAAAAACAGCATTGGGTGGAACATGCTATATAACTTGCAATTAAATACTCATTTTCAATTAGTAATTTGCCGCGGAAAAGTAAGGGAATTCAATATGTAGCAAACCCTAGTATATTTTTAGTTGCAAGTACTATGTACTTCACCCAGGGAAAACATAGAACGTGTGAAGCACGCGAGTGCAAGCTCAGATCGCATGACACAACCATAACGTTTATTTTTGTTGTAAATTGTTGTTTCTTGGAAGACGACTATATTCGTTGGACCCAGAATCATAATTTTGTCATTTACAAGTAAATTCTTCCTCTGACTTATTACAAATAAGGATGCGTATTAAAATTAGAAATGAGACTTGCAAGTTGCATTCTCTTCTTGAAAATGTATTGTGAATTGGGTGGATATTTTATGTAATACTTTCAGTCAACAGTGTGAATAAATTTTAAAAATATTGACGTACGTATACATTTACCTGAATGAATAACGCTGTGAAGACAGCGAAAATATAGTAGATTTTTTATACACCACCTTCAAATGGTACTGGGCGATCCCAATTTACCCAGCCATTCTTATATGCGCTTCAAAGAAAGCATGGAGCATGGGTATAGTTACCGCCCTTCTAGAAATCGAGAAAAACAGTGTGAATATTGAAACTATAGCAACTATTTATTAACTTATTTTTTTTTCTTACATCAAAGCTGTCACCTTCAAACACATTAGCAGTTTTCTAATGGTTCAAGATCAATGCAGTCATCTTCTATTTAGAAATTGCAAGCCCTTTGCCATACATTCTTAAGAGTATAAATCTATGGCTATTCTGTGCAATTATTCCACCCTTTTCGTCCTTCCCCCACACTTGCCTTACCCCTCCACCCATTTACTTTTCTACCCTCCCCCCTCCTTACTTTACTCTTCTGCCTCCCTGCCTCCCCCCCCTGTCCTTATGAGAAATTTTCTTGGAGTCAATACTAACTTACCGTTTTATTCGAGGGAGGCAACTATTTCAATATTGCTCACTGGAAGTCGTGCCCTAAATACTTTGTTTTTTTTTAATCCCATTAAATAAAAAAAAATGATCACATTAAATAAACTTGGGCTTTTTAAGTGTTCTAAATTGGTGGAAAATTTGTGACATTTGAAGCCCCATTTAATTACCTTCCTTGTTTTCAAAGTCCTTGAAACTTGGAGGAGACGTACATTGATGCTTAATCTCGGGATTGTCAAGTTTTTTAAAAAAAATTATCGAGCGGTTTTTAAATAGCCGTGAAATTTGTAGGCGTGGAACAAATTACATTCAAAAATGGTAAAGAAAGCAGCCGAACGTAGGCTAATCAAATTCTTCTTTCTCGCAATCGGCCTAAGCAATCCCCCTCTCTTTTCGTGCAAAGTTCCAGATGGAATCAAACCATTATGAGATGAAACTGCTTTTTCAGACCTCATTATTTTCTTTAGGTATTAGCTAATTATGTCGATAGCATGTTTATTCACTGTTTTTATGACCCTTAAACTTTGTTTCAAAACCTTTCCAAAACGCTCTCATAGAATTTCTTCAAACTTTGCCATAACCGAGGCAACTAAGAGAGGTACAAACACCCTTAAGCGATTTCTGAAAAAAAATCCCAGTACCGAGAAATACAAAGGCAAGTAAAAAATGTAATGGCGTCATTATGTTGCCATGGTAACCCTGGTGTCAACAAAACATGGATCATAACGAATTTTCACATTTATTTAGTGTAGCTGTGGTAACCTTTTTGCGTTATCTTTGTTAATGCCGACGTGGTAAACGCTCAAAGTGGGGAAGTATACTCCCTAAAAAATCCAGTCGAGCCACCTTAACTGTAGGCTCTTAGCAAATGAGAAGACAGATAGTGTGTACAATGTACATGTATAGTGATACAATGTAATTCAAATAATTGGTCTTCGTATTGTGTACTGTTGGCATTAGGAAATTGTGGTAACGATGTTCACTCAACTACAGTGACAACAGTGATGAAAACCTCTCGATAACAAATTTTCTTTTCTCTTTTTGAACTCAGGATGAGATCCCTAACATTTCAACTCCACCACATTTGACAGATTGAGAGAGTTGGAAAAAGTCGCTATAACTTTGAATGAACGCAAACTTAATCTCTCAGTTTCACTTTTCTCGTGACGACCTTACTGCCGTTAACTTTTGAATGTGCACCGTAATTTTTAGGGAGTTATTATAACTCCAAAAATGGAGTAAAAATTTTAGGTACGGGATAACCCCTTTTTTGGGGTTATTTTAACTCCTAATTTAACTCCGAATTTGGGGTCATTTTTACTCCTGAAAAAGAGTTCTTTTTACTCCTAGTCTGGAGTTAAAATTACTCCGAAATGGGGTTACTTGTACTCCTTACATGGGTTGTTTTTACTCTTTTTGGAGTTAATTTAACTCTGAAAGTGGAGTAAAAATTTTAGGTACTGGATAACTCCTTTTTTGGGGTTATTTTAAGTCCTCAATATCTGGGGTCACTTTTACTCCTGAAAAAGAGTTCTTTTAAACTCCTTTTTGGAGTTAAAGTAACTCCACGAAAAATAACTCCACTGTAAGGAGTTAAATTAGGCCCACTAGAGGAGTTATTATAACTCCCTGAAAATTACAGTGTGGTTACTTCAGTTCCCCACTGTAGGAACAGTCCAATAGTAATAGTCTGTCTTAGCAGAAACAGTAAGAATCATCGTAAATTTTGCCTTATAGTAAGCCTGATAGTCTTGCAAAATGTTCCATAAAAAGTTCAGAAAATTTTCAAATTTGAGTTAAAAATTAGAGCCGTTCCAGGGCATTTGGTTGCTTATTCTTGCATCAAAAGTTCATTTTCAGAAAACAGTGACTGCGTTTATTTCTACGAAGTCAAACTAAGCCGACCGCGATTTAAGACAGTTGATTCCTTGTAATTTTGTATATTTTATTACTTGTATAGTGCAGAATATGATCTAATGCCCTTTACAGTGAAGCTAAACTGAATGAAATAATTATACAAAACCAACTGTATGCATTCTTAACATTGTTTATAGAAAGCGATGTTTAGATAGAAGGACTAGCCTAATTATAATTTGCTCACAACTCGTTTTCAGTGTTAAACGTTGGCTATCTCTGTTCTTTGTACCGTCCCTGATGCTTTGAAGCAAAGAATAATTGTTACTACTCTTTTTGTAGGTCCCAATATAGATGAGCAGCATTTATCCAAGAAAGCCTCTGTGATCTGTCAAGTTGAAGAACCCTTCTCTTCTGAGAAACGTCTTTATAAAGGTACACTTGAATGGTATAAACAAGAGCAATATGTCCACAAAAGCAGTTCGTTGTAACAGTAGTTTAACAAGGGCTTATTGAGTATTCCTTGCCGAAAAGTTACAGTAACAAGGAATGGTCGAAGCCACTGAAAAAGACTAGTTTAAAAGGAGTCAAAATTCGTTGTCATTGTCACAGATTATGTTCGCCAGTTGTCCATAAACAAGATTCGTGCCAGATTATATAAGAGAGGTGAAATATTTTTTAACACCTTCACAGGCGAACTTTGTCCGTTGAGTTTCAAATAACTTCTATTCCTTCCTTGTAAAATGGCTGTGTTCGGCAGTCTAGTCTATGTGTTTAATTTTTCTAATTACTAGCCTAAAGGTGGATTTGCCCTGTCACTTAATTTTTACACGACAATGGAATGCAGTAATTAATAACGGATATACTTACGTGCCCCACGAAACCTCAAAATCCCTAAAATTACCACTGTCGAGAGGCCTTAGGGACGGACCATTAGAAAAGTTATGGGGGGGGGAGGGGAATTTTCGAGCTGCAAGAATTTTTTTTCGTTATCAAATTCTTTGCATGAATTTTATTTAAGCCATTGCATGAATATTTTTTAGGGTTAATTGGCGTGTATGAATTTTTTTTCATTTAATTTTCCCTTGCGCGAATATTTTTTTTGTACTTCGCCCGCCCCCCCCATAAGTTTTCTAATGGTCCGTCCCTTAGAAATGATTTGGTATTGCTAGGCTGTCTTTCTTCCAATTATTTCCTTTGTTTGTAGCTGTTACCGGGATTAATGGTTAGTGTATATAGCGTTACGATACTTTTTTATTGTGGAAAATGGTCTTTCAGTTGATTAGTCAAATATCTCTCGGCACAGTTATTTAGACATAAGCTTAAAGGGGCTACGTCGTGCTTTTTGCTATCTTTTCAAAACGCTAAAACGTGTCTTCGAATCGGTTGAATGCCCATGCTTCCTGTCGTCTGTTACTACGGATGGCAAGGATGGACATGCGGATTGAAACTGAAAGATATTGGGCCAACTTGTTCAAGATTTAATGCTATGACTTAAAAAATCACCAATAATAATATTATGGTTAGTGTTCTTTAATGAAATTAGTTTGATATGTTTTTCATAAGACCCCAGGAGCATTTTATGTAGGTAATGACTCATTAAATTGCAGGCGAAGCAAAGACAGCAAAGATATCCAGGTCTTCGAGAAAAGGCAAAAGGCCTGTCCCAGCTCCAAAACAACCGAAACTGTTGAAAGAGGAAGGTAAAGTTCGTTTCTGGGTTATTTAGAGTAAGGGTTGGTATGGCATTACATGTGTATGAGAGAGTTTAGGATGGTCTTGTGTCATCGGTCTCGTGTTTCTAAAAAGCGGCTTCAAAAGCTGCATAGCTTACGAAATAAGAGTGTGACAGTACTTCCCGCCCGCTCAACTTGGCTCATCCCCATTATTCTCGCAGTCCTATCGCCTAAACAAATGCACTCCTGAAATATAGCGCTTGTGTGGGTTACTTTCCTTTGCTGCACAGGGCAGTGGCTTTATTATTTGGGTCCCCTTTTCTAGTGGGACATCGTGAAGCTATAGATGGTTTTCATAGTGACGTCATCAAATTGTAAAGTCAAAATAGCGAGGTTTTACGCATTCTTATTTGCACTAGGTTGAAGATAAACAAAAGGTAAATCTTTGTATAAGTTCCCATTCCCGTAGCATGTTTCATTTCGAAAATACAGCAATTTGAACTTCCGAGTTTTCACAGTGCGTGAAAAATAGGAATGCTGTCTCGTTGAAAAAAGTCTCCCCTTTTGATTTTCAGCAGTATAACCATTTCAAGTATTAGAAGATATGTCTTTGCGCTCGTATGCTAGTTCTCGAGTGAAAAGAAAGAGCTTTTATAGAAAAAGTGAACTCCAGATGTTTCTGTTGATTTCCGGCGGCTATATTGGTGCACCAAAACGGTACACCAATGTGGCGTCTCCATACAAAGCTCTACAAAGGTGCATGCGTGAAATGTTTCGGCAAATAACTCAGAAACTGTGGGCCACAAAGACCTGAGACTTGGACAAATTGTTTAAAAATTAATCTTTTATAACATTTCATTTTCTTGTCTTCTTCCACTAGACGGTTTCCAATTTTTTTTTTTTGCGTGACAGTGAAAACGATCTATAGTTTCGTGGATTCGGTTGCACTTAGAGAGAATCTTGAGATTCTCATGTCTGACACACTCTCCAAACTTTCAGCGTGCTTCGTAATACCATATAAGGTACAAGTAGAACGAGGCCAAATTTAGGCCGAGACCCTGATTATGCTTTCATCACGCTACTTTCAGTATAAGAAACTAACTATTTAGCGGTAGCCTCTTGTCAGTCAGATCAGCCTCCTACGCAGACCTTTTTAGGGGTTCGTGACGCCCTAGGAAAGTCTGCGTGGGAGGCTAGACTGCTGAAAATCGAACCACTTTCAGTGTACTCCTTATCAGGCGATAACCGGTAAAATTTACCGCCTGAAGCAACACTTCTTTTGCGTGCAACCGCTTGAAAGTTTACAAAATGTACGTAAAAAAATACGCAAGTTGTGATACGATCCAGTTCTCACAAGGAAATGAAATGAATAAATGGAAAAGAACTTCAGTATACACAGCTTTACTTTTTATGGGCCATGCATTTTGGAAAGAGAATATTGAAGGCAGAGTAAAATTATTGGATTCAAACGTTTTTAATTGCTGTCTATGGATAATAACGGCCGATTTGCGTAAAATAGGTCTTAAAATGAGAGAATGACTTTTCAGAGAACTTAGCTCCTAAATTTCCAAGCGGGGGCGGGCCATGTCCCTCACTCCACTACGGGCCTACCCACCCCCCCCCCCCCCCCCCAAGCAAGTGCATCCTCTGGCGCATGTTTTTTTGCCTTACCGGCCGTGAATTGTCCCTTACCTGCTGAGCTAAAATTTAGGGAGAACACTGACATTCCTTACCCTTTGTATCTGAGGTGTAATGAACAAACCAATCATTTGTCAGAAACTTAAGAGTGATCTCAGTTCTGTTTTGGAAGGCAAATAATTTGTACATTATTTTTTAAAGAAATGAACATTAAAAGTAAAATGTTTTTACAGAGAGTGTAAGGCACTTAGTTTTCATAAAAATGTAAGCGTTGATAGCATTTTCTTTTTCGCCAAATGTTACCATTGTCTCTGTGAAGCTTATTCTGTCACGGAAGGTATTTTAATTTATGTCATCGAAATCATTTACTTGTATAGACAGAAACATACTTATCTGTAAGTAAAATAAAGGAGAATAAACGGCCTTTGTGCTTACTAAGGAGAGAAAAGCATGTCACAGTGAGATTAATCCGTTTGGAATTTCAAGTCTTTACGTTTGCGTTTATTGACAAATATTCCCTCACCTTTTTGTTTCCAGCAGGTTGGGACAACTCGGTTGTTGTTGAACTGCTCAAAGCTGAATACAAAAGGCGCTGTCTGTTAAGACCACTTCTTTGGGATAGCACTATCGAGTTACCCCTGGAGAACGTTTACACGCGACTGAAAATCATTTCAAGAAGAAAGTTGGCCACCCAGATGGAAGCCAATATGGCGAATATGTCCCACCTCATAGCCCTGGAGGGACAAAATCCAGACTTAGTGGGTGAAAATGACGAGGTGAACGTGACTGAAATCTTCAAGACCCTTGAAAAAGGTAAGGATGTCATGACGCTTGTCGAAGGAAGTCCAGGAATCGGTAAAACTACGTTTTGCCTTAAACTTGCTTATGACTCTACACATGGAAAAATCCCAACAGAGTGTTCCTTTCCCAAGTTTGAAGTTGTGTTGCTCCTGAAATGTCGAGACATTGATGGAAATATAATTGATACCATAAGGGAGCAACTTCTGCCCAGAGATGTTAAGGAGAAGGTTGTAGAGAAATTTTTGCACTTCTTGAAGGATATTCATAACCAGGAGAGAATTTTGATCATTTTGGATGGTTTGGATGAGCTGCCTGAAAAATCACGGCACCATGTCGATGAGCTGCTTCACAGAAGAATTTTCCCATTTTGCTATGTCTTGGCTACGTCACGACAAGAAAGAGGAATTGTAGTGCGAAAAAACTTTGTATTTGACATCCATTTAGAGATTAAAGGGTACACGGCAAGTGATGCTATTGTGTACGTAAGAAGACACTTCAAAACCATTGGTCAGTCACCAAAGGGGGAGAGGCTCATTGAGGAAATGCAACAGAACACCTTCTTGAATGCACTCCAAAATAACCCGTTAAATTTACTTCTCCTTTGTGTTGTTTATGAGGACTACGAGGGAAAATTGCCGACTTCCCGGAAGGAACTTTACCAAGTCATTGTCCGATGTCTTTTGAGACGATACTGCGCCAAACGCAACTTGCCGGCTCCTGAAGATGACAGTGTCTTAGAGGACACGTTTGAAACGGAAATTCTTGCGCTTGGGGAGATAGCTTGGTTATGCCTGTTGAATGATCGTTATGGTTTCCGTGAAACTGAATTGGATGAGTTTGAAAAAAGATACCCGGGATTGGTAGCTCGTGAGCTAGGCCTTCTTTACAAGGAAGAAAGTCTAAAGAGATTAAAGCCTCAACATGAGTACTACTTTCTTCACAAGACCTTCCAAGAGTACGTGGCTGCCGCGTATATCGCAGAGAAGTTAGTAAATCAGCAGTTTGATGTATTTGATCACTTTCCCTTTGACGACTTGGTAACGAAGTATCCACAAGTGTTTATCTTTGTTTCTGGGATGCTGGGCGAGAAAGCAACTGTCCTATTCACCAGGATTGGCGAGGAGTTAAAGAAAAATGATTGGGACTGGAACTATTACAACTATTCCAGTGAGGAGGGAGCTACTTTCTTTATTGAAAGCTTTAATGAGAGTGGACATCCTGAACAAATGGCAGCTTCTCTATGTAAAGTTATACCTTTTCCAAAGGTCATAACCCTTGAGTCAGATGAAGATTATAATCCTTCTTTTGTTGATGTTTTAATGGCTTGTAGAAGTTTTTCAAATCTACAGACACCTGTTGAACTCCATGCTGATGCATGTTCTTTGGAGGAAGGAATGAGTGTCGCATTGGATTATATGGAATCCTGTCCGCAGTTGACAATCGTAAGTGTTGTTTCTGATGAAGACTCTTTGATGGCATTTGATAGAGATCGTCTTTGCAAATGGTTTTCTGCGACCAAAACTCTATCAGAGTTTACTCTTAGAGTCAGATATTATTTCAGCCCTGCGGAGGGCGACCTGCTGGTTCAAATTGGACATGGGTTGGCTTCATGTCGAACTTTGACAAAAGCGACGTTTTCTTTGTCTGGATATGCTTATAGCGAGGGTTTTTTCAACGCGCTTGAAACTGGATTGGCACCGCTGACGTCTGTTAGTCTCGAGGTACATGGCTCAATGAAGTACACTACGACACGAGCCTTACAAAAATTTTTGTCAAATAAATCCTTAAATTCTGTTTCTCTTTGTATTGTTGGAGGCGTGCAGGATTTGTTAGTAGCTGCTGTTAGTGAAGCACTGGCAAGACAAACAGTTTTAAAATCTCTTGATCTTCATTTTAGTGGACCGCTGAGTTCCTCTAGTGCCAGTTTCCTGGAAAAAGGGCTTATGGCAAATAGTTCTTTGAATTATATAAGACTGTGTGTCCACAGTGAGCTCCCTGGTAACTGGCATTCTGTAGTGAAAAATCTTCATTTGGCGAAAAAGTCCCCCGTTTGCTGTTGTATTTATCCAAACACCTTTAACAACGTAGTAAATAATTATTTTCATCCTGTTCTGGTTAGGAAAGGGTTAAATGTAAAGCAACACTTAACTGTTAACGTCTGGGGTGAGATGAAATGCGAAGCGGCAGAAGTTCTCTGTGAAGTCTTGCCACCTTCCTCCATTACTGTTCTCACCTTAAATGTGCGCGGAAATTTAACAAGCAAAGTTTCTAATTCCATTGCAAGATGTCTGGAAAAAAACACGACACTATCTTCCCTGTCCATCAATATATGGGGCGAGTTGACAACAGACAGAGCTATTGTTTCTTCCAGCCTTTCAAAAAACAGTCGCGTTCAGTTAAATGTACATAATGTGCGTATAGGCCCAGATGAGTCGAACGATGTTCTTGTTACCACTACCGATAATCCTGCGGCATTGACAGTCTTTTTCACTAACGTCAAGGAGAGAAGAAAACAAAACGTCCGTCTTACAATCAATAACGATAGTAATGTTACCAAGGAGTGGACACGTTGTCTAGGTGATGCTTTGGCAGAAAATCCATCTCTGACCACGCTTGATCTTACAGTCAACAGCTGCTTCGTGGAGGCAGATTTGGGAGAAAACCTCGGGAACAGTTTATTGCAAAGCAGTTCTTTAACATCTCTTAGTCTCACATTAAACTTCAGTAACATGAAAGAAGGATGGGAATCCAAACTGGGTGACCGTTTGATCAAAATGGCATCTTTAACTACACTCAGTCTTGAAATAAACGGCGATGGCGAGTGGAATCAGAAGGATAGTTTGAGTCCTACACTCAGCAGCCTTGACTATGTTGAGGAGAATCAGGAGAATTGTTTGAGTCCGACTAAACTGAGTAACGTGCTAGCGGCAATCAAATCATTATCTTCCCTTTCTGTTGCAGTCCATAGTGAGAGCATGTGTTCATTTTGGGATAAGGTTGTAGGTGACTGTTTGATAAAATGCACGTCACTTAAGAAACTTAGTCTCACGTTGAACTGGGGTTTATCAGACGTTTGTTACGATTTTAGTGGCCTTTGTAACGGCTTGGTGACAACAAGCTCATTAAATGAATTATGTGTCGCAGTGGTTATAAACGGCCGTACTAGGGGTTTTCAACTAATGTTGCATAGTCTTAAGCAAGGTCTGTCATTAAACTCGTCAGTAACTACACTGACACTAACAGTAACTGTGGCAGCAGGTAAAACACGTGATGGTCATCCTCTACCGATGATGTTCGGTCGTGGACTGTGGTCATTGAACACTCCAATAACTACGTTAAATGTCACAATAAATGAGTGTGGTGATGGAGTATCGGATATACCCCTGATTCTGCGCCCCGTTGGAGTGTTTGGAGGTTTGGCAAAAAGCACATCAGTTACCACATTCAACCTGACACTCAACAGTAGCAGAGACGTGAGTGATGACTGGTTACCAGTCCTTTCCCACACCTTGATGGAAAACACCTCATTAACTACTCTGGGATTAAAAGTGAACAACAATTGTGCTACAGGTGAATGTCGTTTATATGACTTAAGTAAACTTTTAATAGAAAGCAGATCGTTATCCTTACTTGAACTCGATGTAAGTTTCTATGGAAAAGAGAGTGGGTGCCATAAGGTTTTAATTCAATAGAAGAATACAGCTAAGATGTATGTGTTTTCCAGTCCGCAGGAACATATGTCAGTATCAAATGAAATGTAATCTACAATAGAAATGTGGCTTAATTTTTTCTTATGTCGTGAATCTTGAAACCACTGAGGCAACCGGCCCTTAAAAATAAGGATTCTAATTGAAAATGCAAAATGGTCCATCTAAAATTTCTTTCAATTAGACCCTTAGTGTTTGTTTCAAGTTTAGACATTTTTTGTTTTCTCTGTTTGCAAATTGAAGGTCACAGAAAATCATTCTTTCAAGCCACGTCACACACGTTTCCTTGGATACCGAGATTTTTTCCTGTGGAACGGCCCAGCGTGAAGTCCGTTACGTCACACTACTCTGTATAGCGTTAAGGTTACCAGATACCTTCAGGGGTGTCTCATGTGCAAGTAATGTAGGCTATTTTTTCCTGTGGAACGGCCCAGCGTGAAGTCCGTTACGTCACACTACTCTGTATAGCGTTAAGGTTACCAGATACCTTCAGGTGTGTCACACGTGCAAGTAATGTAGGCTATTTTTTCTTGTGGAAGCCCAGCCTGAAGTCCGTTATGTTCACACTACTCTGTAGAGCGTTAAGGTTACCAGATACCTTCAGGTGTGTCTCACGTGCAAGTACTGTAGGCTATTTTTTCTTGTGGAAGCCCAGCCTGAAGTCCGTTATGTTCACACTACTCTGTATAGCGTTTAGGTTACCAGATACCTTCAGGGGTGTCTCACCGGAAGTCGAAAATGGCAAACCCCCGGACACGTTTTTAGCGCTTTGACTTCCAAAGTAATAGAACAAATGAAATAAGGGAAAAGCAAATCACGTCAAGTTTTAGCTTTCGAAAGCTGATTCGGTCGCGCGCGTTAAAAATTGTTTTAAAAAACCGACAGTGCAAGTTTTATACAGCATAGTTTGAACATAACTTTGAAAATTGCTCTTTGTTGCTCAGTCTTGTAAAGTCTTCCATGGTCAATTTAACTTACCTGGATACACGATGTAACACAATCCCATTCCTCGTGAATCTGTTTCAGCTTTTTTAGGTCCATTTATATGGAGAAAAGTTGTCCCGGGTAGAAAGGATCAATCCGCCCCCTACCCGAGCTACCCTGGGGTGAGCCACCTTTTCATACGTTCCCTTAACTCTTTAAGCCCCAAGAGTGATCAGCATCAAATTTCTCCTAGTAATATCAATGCTTTGTAAAACAGAGTGGTCATGACAATTACGGACATAATCACAGAATATGAATTTGCTTGATATTTTATCAACTTCTTCCCACTACTTCTCTAGCAAATGAATAGGGACAACAAATGAGAATTCAAATGTTGATCTTATGGTTTAAGGGGTTAAAAAACGTGGCGAACCGTGTAAATGTGAAAAAAAAGTGGGCTTGGCTTGAAGGGTGACCTGCTTAGCCGGTTCACCCTTTTGTGAAGGGTAGGGTCACCCTCCTTGCTGATCCAGCGTTTCTCCATACAAACACTTTGGCTCGCCCAGTTGGGTCAACTCGGACAAGGCGAGACAATCAAAGTATGTGCGAGCACTGTTGGCTCGGGCAAAGGGATCAACTGTTTTTTCCGTTGACTCAGATGGAGGGTGAACCTCCAGGAATGAGATAAAACTATATTGTAGTCCTTGATTTGAGAGCATCAAGCGGTTGACACTCATCAGAGCTGCAAAGGAGTATTTCTGTGTACATGTTTTGAAATTTTACATTGTTTTGAGTCTCAGACTGAACAGGTGGTAGAGCGCAGTCGGTAGAGCGCAGTCGGTAGAGCGCATGTCGGTAGAGCGCATGACTGCAGAGCGAAAGGTCGCGGGTTCGATTCCCGGGACTGGACCATTACTCAGGGTCTTAAAATAACTGAAAAATGAAGGTAATCCCTGAACCTTAACATGGCTCAAATGACCACGTAAAATGGCGGTCCCGTCTCCAGTAGGAGACGTAAAAATAATGTCCACAATTAGTACTTTCGTCGTAAATATATTTGCGCTCAAGTGGAGTTGTACGCCTTCTGGTCCAGTGAGGCCAAGGTTAATACAACACGAGTTATTAGTAGTTTTAGAGTTTGATAAATATTGTAACTGATGATTTTGACTTGTACGCCTTCTGGTCCAGTGAGGCCAAGGTTAATACAACATGAGTTACTAGTAGTTTTAGAGTTTGATAAATATTGTAACTGAATTGTGACTTGTACGTTATCTGGTTCAGTGAGACCAAGGTTAATACAACATGAGTTACTAGTAGTTTTAGCGCTTGTCAAGTATTGTAACTGATGATTGGTATAGTATTCTTATATTTCAATAGAGTTTGTATGATAGTGACAAATGTACAGAAAAGAAATTATAATTTAGGTTATATTAAAATATGTAAACTGTATTTCACTATGGTTTAGTTTAGTTAGCGTTAGGCCAAGAGCACGGATTCTTTTGTAAATCGACTGTATCGTTATTTGTGAATGCAATGAACATTTAGAAACAAGCAAGTGAAAGCAGTGCAAAATACCTTTAGCAACAAATTCGCCAAGTTTGTTTATTTAAAATGATGTTATTTAGTTTCATTTTTAACTTGACAAAATAAAGCTTTGCAAAGTAAAAATGCCTAGTATAAAAGTGTGTTTTTAGTAATCCAGATTATTTTCGTATTCTAGGGATCAGTCAGGAACTAGTTTGTAGTCGAGGAACATTCGTCAGCGGGGGGGCTTGGGGAGGGGAGATTCTCCTCTTCATCTCTTCATCTCCTGTATGAGCCCCGATTTCTTGCTGGTTCCAGACCATCAAAGCTCATCAAAGAGAATAGGGAAGTGGTGTATTTGCCGTGTGAGTTTTATGGAGGCTACATGTGGGTCGTTGTACATTTAATGTTCGTTAACATACTGAGGTGCCTTTAAAATATTCACAAACAAATGCTCCAGAAAGTCCTGTCAAGAGCACAGGTATTATTCAAAGGGTGAAGGGAAGAAAGGGGGGATATAATGTAGAAAGAGAACTGCGCGCTTCTCTTGCATCACAGTTGTAGGTCACATGATTGTTAATCGGTAGACTCGGGTCCAACACGGTTGGACCATCAATTCGGGACAAGAAATGACATCCTGCTATTTGTGCACAAAAAATCTTTGCTTTAGCTCAGATGCTCTCAGCCATGAGCCAGCGATGCTGAGGCGTTAGGGTTGAATCTTACACCTGTTCATTCATAATCCCGGTAATGGACTAGAACTAGCTTACAATCGAGGCTCATGCATTTTATTACCTAGCAGTAGCCTCGGCTGCAAGCTGGTTGCAGTCACCTGTCAAGAATATGAATGCGCGGTCTGTTTAGTAATAGTGAGTTTATGCAATAGGACGGCAGTGGGAAGAATACGGTAAAGCTCCGTCGTGTGTAACAAACGTGACATGGCTATTACTTGCGTTTTTTGTCAGGATCTTCACTTAACATTAATGTTTTCTGCTCTCGTACAAAAAGATCTGTTTAAAGAAATGTAAATATTATCTTGCTCAATATTGACTTGAGTGCGTTTGTGTGTGCGTGCATGCGTGCGTGCCTGTATGTTTGTGTTTTAATGAATAACAAAGCCATAATAGAATAAAGTCAATCTTGTTAAAGGGCCATAATTAGTTTTACTATAATGTGCCCTTCTCCATTCTATTTTTTTTTCTTATGTACACGTGGTTTAATCTGCCCTGCAAGCAGAGGCTACATTTTCGCTGTGTGAGCTGGAGTGCAAAAAGTAGCCTCTGCCAACCGTTCAAATCCGTCCAGAAATCTGGACGAATAAATTACAAAAACGGGTTTTTTCCTGTTCTTGACCGGTTTAGAGCATTGCGTGAGTCTTGCGTGAGTCTTACTTAGCAAATCAGAGTTGTCGCAGTTTTTTATTCCCGCGAAACTCGCGCCATTTGACGACAAACCTGACGATTAATTTTGCCTGCGAATCGCGCGACGAATTTCGCTCATGCACGATAGAAAATTGAACGGTTGTCGGCAGAGGCTACTTTTCGCACGACAGCTCACTCAGCGAAAATGTAGCCTCTGCTCGCAGGGTAGGTTTAATCAACCTTGTACTAATTGATATTGTACAACTAATGTATTATCTATAGGATGGAGTAAAAATACAATACAATACAATTCAAAGGAATGTAAAGTTTAGCGGAAAGTTTTTTCAACTGAGGAGAAATTATTATCACCCTTGTCCTGTTGCGTAAGTTCACTCATGTGCGTAAATGAAGCCTCTGCTTTTCGAAAATAGCATTCGTCATTTGTGCATCCCCCATAATACACCTTGTTTGCCCCCCCAAATTTTGTATAACGTTAATTTTTTAATCTCGCCTGGGTATTATAGTCATTCCAAGAGAAATTGAAGACAATGCGTATACAAAATGTTTTAGGGACAAGCAAGGTGTATACACTGGAGATGTGCAAATGGCGAATGGAACCTACAACAGTTCCGTTTGTGAGGTCTAGTTGTCATCGTGGGTGCGAAAGAAAAGGTACTGATATCAAAAGGGACAGGAAGGTGTCCTACTTTATCATTTGCCACTGTGGTAAAAAACTCAAAGTTGCATTTAGAACATGACAACTTCATTTCCTTCATCACCCTCGCGACACCTATGTCTGAAAAACAAAACTAATTATCCTTCTCTGATGGGGTGTTTATCTTGTGGTTCAATTTTATCCTTGCTTTAAATTTTATTTTTTTTGTTTTTGGGTATGGTAATGTATGATAATGATTTTGAAACAAAAGAAAATAAAATTTAAACCAATGATAAAATTGAACAACAACACATACATAAAAGCAAAATTTGCAATAAATTTACTCTACGGTTATAAACAAAAATTTAGCCAAAAAGTCAGAAAAGTAATAATGGAATAAAAAATTATTCGCTGACGCCAATTCCTGAAAGCTGCGCAAGTTGGTATTGTCCATTATAACACCTTGTAACCCTTCTTTTAGTGACCTCTCTGTCCTTGCCGTCTTTTTTTGTTTGTTTGTTTGTTTTTTGTTTTGTTTAATTTTTTTTAAGCTCTATCAGTTCTGCGTATTATTCTGGAGCAAACAAGTAGCCTGTTCCTAGAGTGCGTAGCAAGCCTTTCTGTGCGGTTTCGGAGCAAAGAACGAGGAACGAGAGCGCGGAGTTCAGATTGTGGGGACTGGAGCGGGTTAGATTCCTACACGGGGAAAAGGAGTGGGGATCCTACTGCGGCCCCCAGCGAGAAGTAGGCTTACATCCGGGGCTGGCATGAAGCTCTGCTGCTTTCTTTTGTTTGTGTTTCTTTTTTCGTTTTGTTTTTTTCTTTTTTGCTGCTTGTTATTGTCACTTTTTTGGGTTTTGTTGTGTCTTCTTCTCCTGTAGGTATCACATTAGAATGCAAACAAATAGTTCCCTTTTCCTCATGTCCGCTCTTTGGTAATTTCACGTGATACATCATGTGACAGCGTTTGACCAATAAAATCATCCCTTCATGCTTCTGACGTAGCTAAGGGAGCCGAGGCGGAAACGCTGCAGAGAATCAGTCCAATTTCGTGAGGAATTTTCAAAGTTCTAGCTGTTTTTATCAGTCTTGCAGTCATGGGCTGATTCAGTCCTCTCACAAAGCGTTTCATTATGCCGAGCTGTGACAAGATCGAAGCAAAGATGGCATCCAAGTGGCTGCATTTTCGTTGCAGGATTCCCGAAGTTTAGGTAAGCTTAATCGAACTTTCTCCCTTTGAATTCACAAGGCCTATCCCTTGTTTTTACGTTCGAAAAGAAAACTACATCTTATCAGTTTTCTATTGGGCCCTAAGGCATTTGCAGACAATGATCTTTCTGCAGTCGAGTGCACTCAGACAGATCGCGTGACTTTGAAGAATTGAAATGCGTCTTGCATTGTAAATTAATTACAGCAGAACCAGCCACACGTTAATAATACAGCTTCTAAGTTTTCCGACACCTTATTTACTGGTAGTTTCCAATGGAAAGTGAAGTGCTGCGAGTAAAGCATGGCATTCGAAATAGTTGGAATTAGTTGCAGTTTATTTCGATGGTTGATATTTGACAACACAACACGACACGAATTGAGGGCGATCGATAAAAACGGAACTTTGAACTAAAATACATCTAAGTGTTTGTATCAAGCTTCATTGTATAAAAGTCCATAAGAATAAATCAGCGTGTTATTTGTGTGAAACCTCTCCACGATAAGGTTTAGAGCACGGGAGCGATGCATGGAGTGAGTGAGAGTGAATTACCAATCGAGTCCAATATTAAACTGGTTCATAACGCGTACGCTTCGAGAGCGTATCAAATCATTTTCAATCTTTGGTTCCGTCGTGTATGAAACGTTTTACTACTAAGGGAGAGCAATTACCTTGTCACAATTTCCAGAAAAGCTCTTAATAACTAAAACAATTTATCAATTAGATAAATACAACAAAGCCTGGCTGAAAACAAATTTAGCCAAAACACCGACTTTATTTACTGTAGAGTTCCAGGAATTGCTTCAAATATTCTGAGAAACGTATTGCTTGAATTCCCGGCAATTTTTTACCTTAACTTGTATCTATACTCTTCGCTTGCAAGAACATGGCTTTCTATATGAAACAGGATTTCTCCCGAACCGATGGTCAAGTGTTCTTTGGGTTAATTTCTTTCTGAATCAATTGACTGCGAACAAAGGGTGTTACGAAAACCCTTAAGACCTAAGACCCATCTTAGTTTTTGAGATTACGAAAACTAGGACCCCGGAAAATCAAATCTGTCGAAATATGAAGTCAAATTGTAACCGAAATAAGTCTAATCTGTCAAATTATCTTCTGTCCGATTCTTTCCACCGAGTTTTAGGTCAAATTTTAGACCCCTCTTAGTTTTTGTTATTGCGAAAACTAAGACCCCCCACAAAACCAATCCGTAAAATATATATGAAGTTGAATTACGACCGTTCGAAAACTTAAGTAGATAATCTGTAAAACAACCAAAACCTATCATCAGCGTGCTGACAATGGGCTTCTTCTAAAAATTTGCAGACGTATCAGTATTGAGGCTTAAAAAAGAGGATGAAAAGCCATAATTGTACGCTGAAAATATGCCTTATCCCGCCGATTGGTCAATAATTTTGGTTGTTTATCCATAAAAATCGTAAAATTGGCTTTCCACTTGCTGGATATGGATTTTTGCCTTCATGTCTCTACGACTGATTGTGTTACCTAAAAATCACCCAAGGAGTGTTTTGTTCTGATTGCTTGTTTTGATTGCTTATCATTCGCATGCTGACAATCCGCTTCTTCTAAAAATTTGCGGACATATCAGTATTGAGGCTTAAAAAAGAGGATGAAAAGCGATAGACTACCTGTGTATAATTGTACACTGAAAATATGCCTTATCCCGCCGATTGGTCAATAATTTTGGTTGCTTATCCATAAAAATCGTAAAATTGGCTTTCCACGTGCTGGATATGGATTTTTGCGTTTGTGTCTCCGCGACAGTGATTGTGTTACCTAAAAATCACCCAAGGAGCGTTGTGTTTTGATTGCTTGTCAAGAGCCCATTATGGCTCTTGTTTTTTGTCTATTTTATTTTTTCTGAAATTAAAACGCAAAATTTTCGAGATGATGCCTTGCTAGTACAGG